GAGACGTGAGACGTGGGACGTAACTCGATTGCTTTCCTTTCCTACTCCATTTCCTTACTCTTGCCAATGCCCAATCATTCCTTCACATTACATCATTGATTCAATACTCTTATTTCAAAAGAGGAGGCAGTCCTGAGCCATTGGGGTTAGACAAAGTAAGTAGAAATTTCCATACAGAGAAGAGAGAGTGTGCTTGCTACATTTGATACAAACTTTTTTTTTGGTTCAGATCTTGTGTAGGTGTAGTTGCCATGAAACATTTGATGAATTTTAATACAGTGTTTAAGCATTTTCGATCGACTTCGACGAGAATTCAATCAACATCATGGTACGAAGCGTAACACGTCCCAGCAAATCATTAAGATGCAGTGTAAGCAAGCAGGTATGTCGATGATTATCATAATTTGGTATTTTTGTCATGTTCATATTTTGGAGCTTATGTCTTCGTAATGATAATCTACCGGTTTCCAGGAAGGCTCTGCGCAAACAAAATGTTTGACTATGTCTTGATTTCGATTTGCGCAAAATCGAGCATGAACCTGGTGGGTGTGTCGCAAACGATCTGTCATCTGTAAGTCGTCGCGGTGCAGCGACCGCGGCTGTATATTCGAGACTAGTTGGCACCATCACCAGATCATGAGAGCGACTTTATGTGGTCGCAATAGTTCTTCATCCTCGTGTCCACCCTGAATAGTTCTCCACACGACTATGTCTTGATCCCCGCGCATAGGCATCACCAGCTCTCCTTAGATACCTTTGACTTTCACATCTTCGCCCTTAATAGCACCTCCACTGATTTTCTCCAATTCCTCCTCGAGTTCCTTTATCTCCCTACGTTTGCCTGCTTTCAATTCATCCTTCTCTAATTTCACCCAGCCCCAATAGGTCAATTGATATATGAAAGTTGCCATCAGGAGAGTTTTTGCGACAGGGCGAGTGAAAGTTTTGTAAAAGGTACGCTTGGTAGGTATTAGCTATAATGCAGAATCATATTGGCTAAAGTGCGTGACTGAAAATATGCATCTACTGAGAATAATCGGACGGCTTACAGTAGGTGAAGGAGTTTCTGAGGATGCAAATCGTCGTTGCGATATGGATGCGCCGTTCCTTGCCAGGAATTTTGAGCTCCTCAAGAGACTCATCGAAGTGCGGTTCATTTTGCCTAGTCTTTTTCCTTCTTTTCCGCTTCACTTGTTTTGTTTTCAATCGTCGTTCATCCCATTCCGTCACATGGCATTAAATTCGATCATTGAAGTGAGGTTGAAAAATACCGTATTGAACGATCGGGTATTTGTCGGCTGTCTTAGTGGTCCACTTATTTGAGCTCCAAGCAATCACATCGTGCATGTCGCGAGGCTGCGACTTCCATAATGTTATTTCAATAGTCGACGAAATTATACGGAAGTCGCCCGTCTCACTTAACTTAAATTGCTTCTGTTTAGCCGGGGATCTCCAGTACGTCAATACAGCATGGCTTCTAAAAAATACGCGCTTCTTCCTATGGAGGAAGAGGAAATAGGTCCAGCAAAAGTGGTAGCAAAGAGGAAGGAGAAAAAGTCACACCGTGAAAGCTCCTCGCGGCGCGATAGACACCGAGAAAAGTCACCTCGTCGAGAGAGGTCCCCACGCAGAGATACAGAGCAGCGCTCAAAAACTATCCGGAATAAGGCGAATGACGATTATGAGGAACGATGGGGCGACGAAGAATATATCTCGGAGGACGAACCAGAATTTCAGGAGCCTGCCTCGAAACGGGTCAAAACAGTACACTCAGACGAAGATATCTCGGATTCAGAAAAGGAACGAAGGAAGGATCAAGCAGAGAAGGATGCGTTTGCGCAGAGGCTGTTGTCGAAGAATTCCGACAAATCGAAGACAATACTCGAGGATAGGTCCGACCCTATCATGGCACAGCGAAGAGCATTGGCCGACGATGCTGCTGCAAGACGTGCTGCAATGCCAGATCTGAGGGAAAGGTCGAGGCAAGAATATTTGAAGAAGCGTGAAGCGGAGCGTCTTGCTTTGCTGAGGAGACAGGTCGAGGATGAAACGAGGGAGTTGAATGATCCTTATTCCAATTTATCGAAGAAGGAGAAAGCAGAGTTTGCCAAGAATAGAGAGCTTCTTCGACTTGCCGACGAAAGATCAAGAATTGATGATCACCGAGATGGATATGCTATGCCAGACGATTATATTACAGAGAAAGGGAAGCTCGATCAGAAGAAGAAACAAGATGCATTATACAAACGCTACGTCGAAAGAGATGAATATGGCCAAGAGAAATTTGTTTCCGAACATGAGGAGTGGGATAGGCAACAAGAAAAACTTGCCAGAAACCAGATCCAAAGCACTGAACGAGTCGATCAAGGCGAATATGACTATATTTTGGACGAGGAGCAAGGAATCAAGTGGATCATGGATTCAAAGTTACCGGGTCAAGGCATGGATAAAGAAGCAAGATTTTTAGGTGAACAATTGAAGGCCGCTGAGCAGAAAGCAAAGACGATTGAGGAGACAAGGAAAAATCTTCCAATCTATGCTTACAAGGACGAATTTTTGGCTGCTCTCGACCAGTTCCAGACTATTATCCTTGTTGGTGAGACAGGATCTGGTAAAACTACACAATTGCCGCAGTATCTCCATGAAGCAGGGTATACCAAAGATGGTATGAAAATTGGAGTAACCCAACCTAGGAGAGTGGCTGCCATGTCCGTTGCTCAACGTGTGTCAGAGGAGATGGGATGCAAAATCGGAAATGAAGTTGGTTACGCTATCCGTTTTGAAGACTGTACAAGTGATAAAACTCTCATCAAGTATATGACGGATGGTCATCTTTTGAAAGAAGTCATGATCACACCTTCTCTTGACGAGTATCAGGTGATTATGATTGATGAAGCTCACGAACGAACTGTGCATACCGACATACTTCTAGCTTTGCTCAAGGATCTTGCCAAAGAAAGGCCAACAATTAAACTCCTGATTGCTTCCGCGACAATTAATGCACAGGCTTTCTCAGACTTCTTCGATGGCGCTCCTATCTTCAATGTTAAAGGGCGTAGTTACCCAGTCGAAATCTATAATACCCCACAGCCAGAAGCTAATTATCTGGCTGCTGCCATTACTACACTTTTTCAGATACATACCTCTCAACCAAGTGGTGATGTACTGATATTTTTAACAGGTCAAGATGAGATTGAGGCAGCAGAAGAACGAATAAGTGATATTTCAAAGAAACTGGGTTCGAGAGTGCCTGAGCTTGTTATTTGTCCCATTTACGCAAATCTTCCAACCGATCTACAAACCAAAATTTTCGAACCAACACCTAAAGGAGCACGAAAAGTTGTGTTGGCAACCAATATTGCAGAGACGAGTTTGACCATTGACGGCATTGTATATGTTATCGATCCGGGATTCGTAAAGGAGAATGTCTATAACCCAGCGACTGGAATGTCAAAGTTGGTTACAGTAGCATGTTCACGAGCGTCTGCGAATCAAAGAAGTGGTCGTGCTGGTCGTGTAGGACCAGGAAAGTGCTTTCGCTTGTACACAAAATGGGCATTTATGAATGAAATGGAGGAAAGTACCACTCCTGAAATTCAGCGAACCAATCTGAATGGTACAGTTTTATTGCTCAAGTCACTTGGAATTAACGATCTCTTGACCTTTGACTTTATGGACCCTCCACCAACAGAGACCCTAATTGGTGCTCTCAACCAATTGTACGCGTTGTCCGCATTGAATAACCGTGGAGAATTGACCAAAATTGGAAGACAAATGGCCGAATTCCCAACAGATCCTCAAGTTGCGAAGTCTATCATTGCTTCAGACCAACTGGCATGCTCCGATGAAGTATTGAGCATCATGGCAATGTTGGGTGAAAGTTCGGCACTATTTTTCCGTCCTAAAGGAGAGCAGAGAGTGCACGCAGATAGTGCCAGAGCGCGTTTCACGATCAAAGAAGGAGGGGACCACCTCACCTACTTAAACATTTGGAATCAATGGGTGGACAATGATTTTAGTACTATCTGGGCAAAAGAAAACTTTCTTCAGCAACGTTCTCTCACTAGAGCTAGGGATGTTCGAGACCAACTTGCAAAACTTTGTGAGCGAGTAGAAGTTACAATCGCTAGTTGCGGAGCGTCAAATCTGGAGCCGATTCAGAAAGCGATCACAGCGGGATTTTTCGCTAATGCAGCACGATTACAACGAGATGGAGACAGTTACCGGACAGTCAAGAGGAACACTACAGTGTACATACATCCTTCGTCAGTATTGATGGCCAATGATCCCCCTATCAAGCTGGTTGTTTATCATGAACTTGTACAAACTACAAAGGAGTACATGCGTAGTTGCATTCCCATCAAAGCAAATTGGTTGTATGAGCTTGCACCACATTATCATAAGAAGAAAGAGATAGAGGAGATGGGAGACAAGAAATTGGCGAATCGGAGTAGGACATGATACCATAGCACATAGCACGTTAGGTCCAGCATGACCATCAATTATCTTTCATAAAATTGGATCTAACTCAAAGTTTGGGACTATGAGTTGTTGCTTTTCAATCTTGATTTTTGTCTTCATATAGACACCCATAAGTTGAGAGGGTCATAACCTCATTTTATACCACTTTTACTTGCAAGATTGTCAAGTCGCAAGAAATCCTGAGCGGATCTTCCCGTATAATAATATGATTTGTTTCCCTCCAGCTGGATTACTTTTGCTTTGCGAAAGCTACCTTACATGGATAATGATCTGCCGGATGGCCGCCTCCCCGAAGCATCATGTATGCTCTTTGACCATTTACTCTCCAACCCTTTGGATCACCCTTTATAAGATCATACTCCTCATAAGCATCTGAAATCAAAATCTCGAATCGTCAGCGCGAGCATAAGTTTTACTTCTGTCATGGCTACTTCCTGGCCAATACAATTGCGAGGACCGCGCTCAAATGGTCGTCATCCATTCTTGGGTGGATAGAGCTCGTGGCCTTTGGCTACGATCTATCGTTCTGGAAGAAACTCTTCGGCTCGCGGCCAATAGGCAGGATTATGATGTGTGGCATAATGATCGCCCCAGACTATTGTTCGATCGGTGGGGAAACGAAGACTATTGTCCCCTATCAAAGAGAAATAAGATTGGCCATCGCGAAGCGCGGCGACAGTGGGGTAGATGCGAAGACTTTCTTTGATGACCGCAGTAGTATACGTAAGTTGATTCAAGAGTTGTGGCTTGGAAGCAATTACAGACTCAGTGTCCGCGATGTTAGCCCCTAGTACCTCAGTGTGCTCAGCACGAACCTTTGCTAGTACATTTGGGTGTTGGGAGAGCAGATGATAAGTGAAGATTGCACCAGCAGAAGTGGTGTCGTGGCCAGCGAAGATAAATAACTTTATTTGCGCCATGGCGAAATTCTGGAAAGTTTTATCGATGCCTGTTGCTGAAGGATTCTCCGCAAGATAAGCTTTCAACGCTAGATCCACAATCGATTTTTCTTTCTTCTGTATCTCAGCGCCTTTGATGCTTCGATGGCGTTTGTCGAGCTCTCGAGAGAGGTAGCGATTCATTTTGTAGCTGTTGTATGCATGCAGAAAAGGGCGAGATATATTGATGTATTCCAGAAGGTTGATGTTCATGCCTGTCGTGCACCATAAAAGCTGCCTTCGTAATGCTCCTGTCATGTCGTTGTAGCTGGTTTGGCTGCAGAACCTATGGTCCCTAGTAGAAATTATTGCATCAGTCAATAATCGGAAAGTGGTGTTCCTGGCAGTCTAGATTGCGGTCCGATAACCAAAAGCTTTCCATCTCTGAATCCAACTAGGACATTCGATAAGTTGAGACTTATGAATCCGTTTTGGACGTTATACTACTTTCAGAGATTGAGAGCAGACATAAAGTCTGCTATTCGGTAATACAGGATGATTCTACCAGAAAAAAAGAGGCATCTACTCACATTGCAACTCTACCAATAATATCGAGTGTGAGGTGCAGGCTGCCATCCTTAAGAAATATCATTTTACCACTCTCGGCATGTTTCCTCAGCAGTTCCTTGAACATCTTGATCCCTCCAATCATTCTCGGAACCAGACTGGATACATGACCAGCACTAAATCCAGGATTGAAAATAGCTCTCCAGTATTTCCAAGCATCGCCTTTTAAAGTAACTAAACCAGATTCGCCAGTCAACGGTTTCAGGAACGCGCGAATGCCTTTATCTTTTGGTATTTAGTTTGCTTGAGTTAGTTGGTACATCATATCCGGCTTGAGCACGACGAGAATCGGAGCGGCGAGTGGCCAATTGTCAAGATAGAAAGCGCTGTCCAGATGGGGATATCTCTGGCGGATTTGGTCTCCGATGTAGACGCCGTGGGCGTATGGAGGGAGATTGCTAATGATACTTGCGCTGAGAGGTATGTGTTCGAGTAACCAATGATGGAGTGGCATGGGCTTGGAGACTAATTAGTTATTGTATTGAATGGAGAGATGATTGGTCGTGGACTACTAGAGGGGTTGTGGGAACGTACGAGACCTTGCTTTTGGAGTCCTCGAATGAACGTCCGTACTCGGTATAGTTTAATTACGAACGTGGTAATAATTATAGCGAGTATAGCACCAGCCAGTTTAAGCAGCTGAGTCATTACAGGTTCGTCCATGTTTTTAAACTCTGTACAGACTTCGTTACAGATCTGAGTCGGAAAGTAACGTACAATCAACTTACTATATCTTTTAGGGGCTACTGGATCTATGGCTTTTGATTTAATGATGAAGTGCCAACAACAAACGGTTGTCATAGCCGACATTTGGTCTCATTAGTTGGCAACTGTCCATCTGCGGTAGATGTCCCGTTTTCAGTATACCAACAGTTAGATTTATGCACGGTTGAGGATTAATATTTTATGCAGCACAGCTCCTGTTTGCGTTTATGGCAATCAATTATTCAAACGCCAAGTTCCATATCAGTTGCTGAGATATGAAGCTATTCATAGGGATTTGGAGGCTTTGTGGAAGTAGTCTCTGAGGATTTCAGTGGAGGAAGATCTACCTTGCTACCGATATCGTGTATTTCACTTCTTTATCTGTATACGAAGGGCATGAAACATGGAAGCGACTGGAGGTAAGCATAGGACGAGCAATGATGAAGATTCAGCTAGACATTAAGGAGTGATTATTCGCAATTGAATTCATTCGTCAATGCAATACCAGTATATTGAACCCTTTATTTTTCAGTCTAATTTGTCACTTGGTGATGAAATCGCATAGTTATCTGTGTATCTGCACAATTAGATAGCTTGGCCATTCTTGCTCGGCATTGAAATACATGGTCGATGACTTCATTGATAAATTGTATTTTCGGTAGCTCGTCAATGCTTGTTCGTGGTTGATCGCTCATTCATATGCCGGCAATCGCGCTTTTTCTACCATTGAATTCCCTTTGTCTCATGTCCAGTAATGGCTCACAGCAATATTCCACATCTCCCGGAAAGCAACGACTCACTTGCGATTGTAGACCTCGTCGACCTCGATAATGTGTTCGGGAAACATGACGGGAATTGGAAATTGATAGTGCTCGGTCTCTTCGTCATGTTGCTTTATGGCTGGTTATTTCGGACTCGGTAGTCGGAATGCTTTTGGTTGTGGTACCCTTGGTCGGAAGCACCAATTCCTCCTCTTCCTTTCCCAATACCAGCAAATTTGAACTTCCATCTCCATCTCCAACCCCAAACTTCTCTATCTTCTTCTCTTGCTTCGAAGCCACCAATTCTTCTTCTTCTTCATCATCTTTATCATTATCCTCTTCGTCAATATTTCCATCTGCCTTGGTGCATTGGGATGCGTGCTCATTCTTTCTGAGTGCTTCAGCCCAACGACTGGATGCCTCAGCTTGTTCGAAGATCTCCTTTATCTTTTGGGGATCATCGAATATCTTCTTGTATGCGGCGGCCTTCTTTGCAGAGATGGGCTTTGCCATGGGCACCTTGGAATAGTCCATAGCTTTGTTAGGTAGCTTGGTACACTTTGAAATACGATTCTGGTCGTATGACAAAAGATTACAGTCCTTAGTTGAGAGACTGTGGAGATTGGCCGTGTACTGAAGGCTCTGTGTTGCAGGTAAAAGTGTAATTACTGGTTGGTGAATGGGGTCACTCGGTATGTGGTGATCGTCGGTAAATCCTTCTGTCTTTCTGTTATCTTGTTTATGGTCTTGATGAAGATATCCTCGTTCCTTTTGTAAGAACTCAGAAGTTGAATTTTTTATATGATGTGACGGTGAGGTCAAAGGTGAGAAGTTAAGTATGTCGGAATCCGTAAACGGGCATTGTTCTGAGCTCGACTTCAACCTCACTTCATCAAAAGCATGACTTCAAACATTCATGGAACAGAACATACATTTTCAAAATGGCAAATCATCATTTGAATGTGGTTCAAATCTTACATCAACACTTTGACCAATACTCTTCCCTCCTCGGTGTGCCACAGTCAGACAAATTCAGAGATATATGACAAGAAATTCTTGTGAAAATTGGTATCGATGAATGCAAGAGAGAGGCATTAACGGAATATCGACATTGACTTGAAACAAACTTGTGGTACTTAAGTAAAGCGCAGAGGTCATTTAATGCCGCAAAATTGTATACCTCGCGCTGGACAGAGATATAGCGAATTTCCAGAGAAGAATACCCACAGCACATCCCGACCTTCCCTTTTCTCGTTGAGATCTCCCTTTCGAGCCCTCCCTGAGAACAGATATCCTCTTCTTTCATATATCCTACCAGATTCATCTCCACTCCCGCACTTCTCCCCATCACCTCGACTGATTCCATCTCCATCCTCTGGCCATTTCTTCTAGAATCTAGCCTCCCATTTCCCTCCTCAGAACCACCAACTGCAAGGAACAACATGGTCGATTGAATTTAGTGTACATCCACTTGACGCAAACCCAGATCGTTGTAACATTTTGGGGGCGCCAATTTATCCCTTATCTACACATTTGAACCTTTTTCGTATCCGTAACATACAGTAATGGAACACGGTCGGATACCTGTTATAGAAGTAACAGAGTGTGCAAAATAGTGGTCTAACAACGTTCCGCCTAGCTATTACTGTTTCTGTTTCCACTCACGTGAGTCATCTAATTCCATGTCACTTACTTGGTCTTGTGATAATACTTGGTGGACAATGAGTACCATGGTCACTTGATATGGAAGATGACTAGTGATGCCGCAATGTCATATTCCCTATACTCTATATGCGTGTACAAATCACGGATTGAATCTAAGTGGCCACGAAAGTCTTCTCTCCCCGATATACGACTCCAGCTTTAAGGTCATCGAGCTCAGGATTCGTAAACGAAATGCATCAAAAAATGAAATCGATGATTGAGGCTTGAGACTCAAGCGTCATTGAGTTGGCGTAAATCCTCCCGATATAGCTAGAGCTTCAGCATAGATCAGAGTGGTCTTGATCGAAAGCATACTCAGTTTGAGCGTCGCTTTCCTCCGCAGTCTGAAGGATCTTGAACATGAGGAATCGTTGAAATAGATCTCAAGAAGTATTATCTAAATCCAATATGATATTTCAATATGAGAAAAGTAATTCGAAAAAAACTACTTTTTTTTTTTCAAAAGGGTTGTAATCGAAAAATTCATATATTAATACAAGTTACTATATCAAAATGATAATATGACATTTGATTTTAGGTGTAATATTCAATATAAGTCGACCACCCTACTTTCGGGCCACCCCCCTTTTGGGCCACTTTTTACACCAAAAATGGAATTTTTAACTTTCTTATTTATGAATAGAATTTATTGAAAATTTATACATATATAATTTAGATCATTTTTAGCTTACCTTGAAAATTTTAGATTTTTAGGAACTTTCTGTATTGAGATTTAGAGCTTTAAAATATCGAATTTTAAATTTGTATAGGAATTACATACAAATTTGAAACTTTTATAAAATTATTAAAAATAAACTATAAAATTTTATTATAAATTTATAACATATTTATTTTGAAGGATTCAGAAAAAAAAGAAAATTTCCTATAAATAGATATTTAAAAGAATACCCTCAAAATTACAGGGATTATTTATACTATTCTAAACTCACTGTATACTGTTACGCCGGTCCATCCTCGGTACCGCGTCACATGACTTTTAGCACGTGATGGACCCTGCATGACAGGCATAACGGAATGTAGGTCCATACAGACCAAAGGTCCAGGACCTCTCTAGGTCCTGAACGCTCCAGTACAGTACGAAGGTCTATATAAGGGAATGGGATTTCATTACAATGTAGAGCTTCGTGCTCAAGAACAATCATTAGTTTCATTACTATAGTTACGAGAATTGCAACCAGTTACCAACCTTATTGAATTCCTACTTGAAGTTTAGTCTAAACCACCTCGAGAGAACTCTAGACACTTCCACGTGACCCTAGAGGCAGCTCCCGTAACACTTTGAGCACCATTTCTGCTTCAAGTACCAATTCAATACCAACCGACGATATGACACCCACCAGTGCATCCGCGAGCAGTCAGGCACAAGCACCCGACACCGACGATGTCGAGATGACCGACGCTCCCAAGGAAATTACCATCAACGAAACACTCAAGATTGCCTTACCAGACAAATACCAAGGTAGTCGACAGGAACTCAACACCTTCCTCTTACAACTTGAAATCTACTTCAGATTCAACGAAGACAAGTTCACCGAAAAGGAATCCAAGAGTGTATGGGCTGTATCATATCTCAGAGGAGAAGCAAGCAAGTGGATTCAACCATATTTACGAGACTATTTCGAGCATGACGACCAGGATCGCATGCAACCCACTCGAACAATCTTCAACAGTTTTGAAGGATTTAAGACAGAGATTCGTAGAATCTTCGGGAACTCCAATGAGCTAGAGGTAGCGGAAGATAAGATCTTCAACCTCAAGCAGACAGGATCAGCATTGAAGTATGCTACGGAATTTCGAAGATATGCTGGAACAACCAAGTGGGACGAAACCGCCATCATGAGTCACTATCGTAAAGGACTCAAACCAGAAGTCAGACTGGAGTTAGAAAGATCTGCCGAGAGTGTAGACTTGAACGACCTAATCCAGGACTCCATCGAATCAGATGATCGTCTTTACCGATATCGACAAAGTCAAAGATCATACAAACCCCAGGGAAATCAAAAGCAAGAGCGTTACCGCAAGAATGAGGGAAGACCACGTTACAATCCACAGAGATATGGAGACCCTATGGAACTCGACGCTACGCACCACAAAGGTGGGAATGATGATCCGGAAAAGAAACGAAGACGAGAAAATAACTTATGCTTTGAATGTGGGAAAGCAGGGCATCGGGCAGCAGAATGTCGAAGCAAGAGAACAGGGGGCAAGAAGGGCAACTTTAAGAATAAGTTCGGCAAGGGCCAACTTAATGCCACCTTCACGCCACAATTGTGTGCTGTTAGCATGACAGGGCTAGCCACGCCACCACCAGCTTACGAAGAAGAAGAAGAGGTCGAAGGCCTCTCATGGGTAAACAAAGACCCGCAGTTAGGAGAATCATGGTCTATTCGGGAAATTGACCAATGGAACCGTCGTATCTGGAAATTTGGAGATACAGACGAAGGAACTATGAACGAGGACCTCAGCGTAACAGACGCTGAAGAGGGCGAATCGTATGAGGTTCGGTACGTCGATCAGCATCGAATTCTATGGTTTGGAATCACTACGAACACATCATTCATAGAAAGGATCAGTACCGATCACCTCCAGTGGCCAGACAGAGGAGAGCTATGGGAAGTGTTTTATCACCACACATCTGAAAGAAATGAGAATCAGGTTCTATTTTTATGCAGAAGAGTAGGGGAAGAACACCGGGTCCAGGCTCAAGCCATATTACCACCACCAGTTGTGGGTACGATAATGAAAGTCACTCAAGGGAACTACCGGTACACCCTATGGAGGGATTTACTTGATGACAGAGCTAGATCAGGGACAAGCGCTGTCTATCTAGAAGAGGAAGAGCCTCGACGTGTAACATTTGCCGATGAAAGCATCCAGGAAAACGGAGATGAGCAAATTACACCACAGCTAAATGCTACAGGACAAGCAGGACAAATATACTGCAGAGTCAAGATAAATGGACAAACACAGCCAGCCATGATAGATTCAGGGGCTACAGGAAATTTTATTGCACCAGAAGCTGCAAAGTACCTGGGAATTCCACTCCAAAAGAAACAACAACCCTACCAATTGCAGCTAGTTGATGGCCAATTAGCAGGATCTGACGGGAACGTTTCACAAGAGACACGACCAGTACAAATGAACATAACCCAACACTCAGAGGTTATACAGCTTGACGTTGTGCCATTGGGCCAACAACAGATCATCTTAGGGATGCCATGGTTGAAGGCACACAACCCTAGAATAGATTGGTCACAAGAAACAGTGACATTTGATCAGTGCAAGAACGGTCACGATGACACGTTCAAGGCGTCCGCGAGACGTAACACGCGCCAAGGAGAGTTGAACGCGAACAACACCGGCGACGTAGGACACCCAGTCCAGGGTCCTCCATTAAGAGCGAAGGCCAGTACACCTCCTCTACAAATGCAGAAGCCAACGACACGGCAGGAAATCGCAATCAAGGCAGAAGAGCCTATGATACCAGAACAGTACAAGAAATACGAACATGTGTTCAAGGAACCAGGGATCCATGAGGCTTTGCCAGAACACAAGCCATGGGATCATGAGATAATATTGGAGGAAGGCAAGATGCCTGTGCACACCCCAATTTATTCAATGTCAGCCGATGAGCTGAAGACGCTCAGGGAATATATCGATGACAATTTGGCCAAGGGATGGATCAGGGAATCCACGTCCCAAGTGGCAAGTCCAACTATGTGGGTACCCAAGAAGGATGGTACTAAGAGACTAGTTGTGGACTACAGAAAGCTCAACACGCTTACCAAGAAGGATCGATATCCACTTCC